CGGGGGTTGGCGCGCCACAGCCGCCTCGCGCCCGCACTCACCGTTTGAGGCCATGTCCGCGCACGCGCGCACAAGCCGACAAGCAACAAGATTCCAACTCCGCGAAGCGCCGACGCCTCGAGGACTGAGCGACCCCGCCTCCTGCGCCGCGGCTTATGTACGCCTCCCCCGCCTACGTACGCCAATGGGACGTACCAAATCCGGACGACGGCCGGGGGAGGCCGGCCGGGGCTCACGCCGCGCCCCGAGGACTGCGAACGGGACGACCCGCCGCCAAGGAGCCTCCTAACCAAGAGTCTTGACCGTCATCATGTAGCTCGTCTTATTTACCTGTAAAGATGTGTCGTTCTCGCTGCAGGGCTGGCCGATGAGTATCCTCCACCCCCGGAGTGGCATAGTGGTATCGTCTGATGCCCCGCTGGGGGCGGGGCGTAGGGCCGCGGCGACTAGCGACGCAACTGTAGTTGCCGGGAGCCCGCTGGGCGGGAACTGAAATCCTTGGCGCTACCCCCTCTCGCGGGGCCCCACTTTCACTCGAGCCCGGGAGCGCCCGCCTTCCGCTGCGCGCGTCACGCCCCGCCTGCCGCGGCCAAGTTCCGCACGCTGCACCCGCCCTGGCTCCACAGGGCCTTTCCCGGCCCCGCGTCTCCGTTTCCACTTAATTTGTCATGGCTGCCTGCCTGCCCGGCCCGGCCCCGGCCCCTGGAGGGTCAGTCGATTGTGACCTTTCACGTGAAAGCGGGGAACTCCGCCCGGACGCTTCTCACCCCAGCGTGGGACTGGGGAGCCCAGGCCGCCGTGGAGCTCAGCCTGGGGATCCGACGAGGGGTGCCCCACCTTCTTGCTGAAAAGTAGCTGCCTCGGACGAGGGGGCTACACAGTTTGAGAGGGGAATCCCATTCTTCCCGTGGTCCTGAAACCTTGTCAAGGGACCAGTTTCAGAGCCCCCCCCGTAATAAGTGAGATTTGTTACGAGGCTTTAAGTGATTCCAAAACGCAGACTAATTGCACGGCTTTCCCGTCACGACCTCGTAAAGGGAAGGTACCCACATTTCGTGGGTCAGAAAAGGGATACGGGGGGAGAGGGGGTTATAGTTTAGGTGTCTAGCGCAGCTAAAGGCCCAGAGTGTGATTCGAACCCAGGTCTGGTGACTGCAAAGCACATGCCTTTCATCTCCTGGTTAGGTGTCCACTTTCCCGCGTTCAGATGCCTCTTCACTTCCCGTTCGAGCAAGGTCAAAAAAAAGAGGAAAAACTCAATTTACCCCTCCACTTGCCTTCTATAATTAGCCTTGCTTGGAGAAGGGAGCTTAAAACTAGAATAAAACAAGATTATTCCTGGTAGATGCCAGGCAAAATTGCTCTTCACTTTCCTTGTATTGTCGTTTGGAACCATTTTCCTAAAGAAACCCTGAGGAGAATGATCCAGGTCTAGACAGACACTTCTATTAAAGTCCTGATTTGGGTTATGGGCCTTGAACACACACGTGCACATGTGTTGGAAGGATAATGAGACTGGGAAGCGAGGGCAAAGAGAAGTTATTCATTCACTCATTCGTTTATTCAAATATTTATTGAACACCTGTGTTCCAGGCAAGGAACCCTGGTGGCCACTGGTCTAGACAACACTGGCCGTCTTGGAAACCCACAGAGGCCGCTCTCCCCTGCCCTATGGGATGGTCAGGAGGCAGCATTGACCGGATGACAGTGAGTATGTGGATAAGAGTTAATGCTTTGATAAGGATTATCAAGTGTCAGACACTTCCGAGTATAACTTGCTTGAGGATAATGGAATTCTTTCCAATAAACCTCTGAGACGCATGTGAGGATTACATTTTCTTTTGTCTTCTGGGCAAAGAGCACAGACAGATTGAAAGCTGTGCCCAAGGCTACATGGAAAGTGGCACCACGAGGCCCCCAATCCAGGTAGCCTGGTCCGGAGTTCCCACTGTCCACGTCAGCGGTCATCATCTGAGCACCGCAGGGTTTGGGTCGAGCATGAGGTATAAACCAGGAGCACAGAAGATAAAACACACCGGGTCTTGAACCACAGGACCTTAGGTCAATGGGTAGGAGCAGCCTGGGACCCCCGACTCGGACTTGAGCCAAATGAGATATTTCCTAACACGGGATCAAGGGCTTTAGAACCCGGGTGGGAAGGAAGGCATTCATCGAGGGAACCAGCAACGGCTGCTGAGTTGATTCTAACGCCGTAACACCGGTGGGTGACTCCATGCATGTCAGAGTGGAGCAGCAGGGCCAGAGAGCTTCCCTGGCTGGTGTCTCAGAAGTGGATCGCCAAGCCTTTCTTCCAAGACACCCTGGGGTAGGCTTGCAACTCAGCCTGTTGTTGATTAGTCACCTGCTGGAGCCACCTGGGGATTCCAGGTGGACAACCCAAACAACACCATTGAAGCAATGCTGGGAAGACGAAAGAGCAAGTAGTAGTCTTAAAGCCAGGCGGCGATCGTTAGGGTTTGTCTCCCCTTGGCTGCAGCTGTAAAGAGGATATGGGGACAACGGTCCAGACGACATGGCTTTCCAGCCAGTCGCTGCCATTGCCGCTGTTCTGTGAACTTATTAGAGATGTTTCCCTTGGGCCCCAAAGTGCACTATGTCGTCTTCAGGTGCGAGGCATCCAGCAAACAATGGCAATGCCATTAGACCGGACCCTGAATTCCATGACAAATATTGCTCTGCTGTTTTAGCTAGTGTGGGTAGCCAGACTTTCTTTTTCTTAATTAATCCATTTATTTATTTATTTATTTATTTATTTATTTTTAGAGCGACTTTCTGTGTTGCTGTAGGGACC